GTTTATGAATAACAAGTTCAGTCGCATGACGATGAAATATGAAGAAAATCAAACGATCTGCCAATGAGCGTTAATTACTTTGAAGCGACAAACTGAGAGTTTCCGTTTCAAAAAAAAGATCGGCGTTATAATAATAATAATAATAATAATAATAATAATAATAATAGTTTAATATTTGTAGTGCGCAAATTCCATTTACATTGATCGAATGCGCATGGTATATTGATATATTGTGAAACATAAGCTCCATTTTTGACTTTCACCGGTTCACCATGTATTGGTCATGTTAGGTCATGCATGGTTCAGGATGCAGCAGAAAAAAACAGTAAGCAGCCAATGGTTGGGTTTTTGCTGATCGCGAACGCAGCAGAAACATGCACGTTTCCTGAAGATTGTGACTGTGGTTGTAATGAGCAAGAGTACTTCAGTTAAACTGAAAGTGAAATGAATTTCCAAATGATCTATCTGCACAGTTATGTGTGTAAGCTAAGTAATCTGCAACCGTTAATACTACGTTAAGATTGCTATCAGCTTTGTTTGAAGCGCAAGTATAATTCACGACGGCTTTATGGCTATAATTTTTTCCTAAAGTAAAACTTTCGCCGCCCAATGGCGGGTATATCTTCATGACTTCAAAATAATTCGTGTTGGCAATCCCTATTACACATATGAAAATTCTAAAACGAATCTTTGCGCAAAATGTTAATAATTTTGGCAATACATCCAGTAACCTAATACTCTTTGACTCAAGAACCTTGGAGCTAATTTCATCCGTTTCTCTTACAATGATTGACTTTTTTGCTACATTTAATATCCATTTTTTCTTTTTTTTTTTCCTTCTCTTTTTTTCACTTTGTTAACGTGGTTCTTTAAGATATAAGATTCACGTTTTTTTTACGAACATCTACATGAATACAGGTACTCATCAAGGGCCTTTTCAATCGCTATTTACTCAAGAAATTACATAATTGAATAATACATATTACATTAAAACTTCTGCCGGTTGATCAAGGCGTTCATTTCAGGAAGAGGAAACAGCTTTACTTATTTGGTGGAGATGTGTTTGAACTATGTTTACTTAGGTAATGCATTCTGGACCCAAAGTTTTTGAGCTTTGCCATTTCCAATTCAATAATCCAATAATTAATCTTACCACATTCAAAAGTTGATTTTAAGAAACAAGCCTATGGAAATGTTATAACTAGCACTTTGCAGTAATAATTCCAAACTTTTCTCCTTTATACAGTGGTTTAAACTGACCAAATAATTAAATTGTCTTGTTACATCAAGTAATTTCTCTTCAATTTCCTCACAACGCCAACGACACACTGTCACTTACATGCACAACTCTTTAATAGTCCTGATCAACACCCTCAACAAGCAAAATAATGATATGGTCCTTTGACTCGGTCAGTCTTCAATTCTGTATTCACCTCTGTATAAGGTTTCCTTTGCGCTCTAATTTTGATCTAATCGGAACAGCGAAGTCACTTCTCAAGATTCTTTCTGCCGTGAAGAAGATCAGGTAAATGTCGTATGTAAATATTCACACCTGTCTCAAAGCTTTTAAGCTTTGAGACAGGTGTAAAAATTTATGTTCTCTTTGAAAATTGACCACGACTATCATAAGAACAGTAGAGTTTGGTAACGTCTCGTATTGGAAAGAGTTCGTTAAAGTACTCTTCCATCATGGATACACAATATTTTTAAGGCAAGTTTTAATCTATATCTTCGAACTTCACTTTATCGGTACTGAAAGTAAATTGAACGTTGATCTGAGAATCTTAGTAACTCTGCCCGTGGTAATACCATTCGACCCAGTGAGCGTCGAACATGGCATAAACGATCAAACCCGTAGTTGATAGCTTCTAAATTTTTGCCTTCTTTTCTTTTTTAAAACGGTGTTTTAGAATTGTGAGGAAAAGTCACTGTTGTTTAGAAATATTTTGTGGAAGTCAAAACTGAGGGCAGCATATTGAAGTTGAACACTGTTCAGTACAAACAAAGTCACGCAGATCAACGAATAGAGAAATCCATCTTTTACACACACTTTTGAATTATTTTAAGGTGATCGACCTTTTGATCAATTTGCAATATTTTCTTTTAACAGGAATTATAATGGGAAAGATGACGAAAACTATAATGCGAATTAATTTCCATTATAGTTGGCGGACGGCAGAGTGAAGTAAACGAATTACGGAGGCTTTAAGTGGCTTCTCATTTTTCTCCACTCTCCATTATCTCGATCGTTTTACGAAGCTTGCGTAACTGACGTTTCAGCCGCCAAATTTGAGCTGAAAAGAAAACCCCTCAGCTTTTTCAGCAATTACTCGAGAGTTAGTTAAGATGAGACCCTCCCACGAAAAGTACAGCTCTAAAATTTTTATGGGCCTTGTTTTTCAATTATCAATATTCCCCAATCAAAAAATAACTCTCTAATAGTCCGGTTAAGTAATATGATTCCTTCTCAGTGACTCGTACTGTTTGTTATTGTTATTCAGCTGCACTGGATAATTCATTTTATTCAGCCTCAAAAAATGGATGTTTAATTTTTAGTATTAAGGGCGTCGTATTCACATGATCCTTGTTGAGTTGAAGATTGCCCCTTCATCCAAGTTATAACTGAACTCTGCTTGCGAACATCAATCTACAAGAGGAACGGTTCTTGCCGTTGAGGTTTCTTAAAAGAAATGTGAAACATCTTCTGAAATTGAACCTTTCACTTTCTTTTTTTTTTTTTTTTTTCATCTATATATAATGATATATATGTATTTCAGAGGGAGCTTCAATTTACGTATTTATTTATTTATTTAGTTATTTATTTTATTTACTTACGTTGATGTTAATGGTTTATTTTATATCTTCTTATTCCCAGTTCTTAAATTATTATTAGGGATTAGAAGTAACCATTTTAAAGAGAATTTGTTAGTCGTTGCAATTTTAGCGTGATCATAGACAGTTCCACAATTTTTAACCGATTGAGTTGATATTGAAGGTTTGAATTTTCTGCCCAAACACCCCTTACAAAAAAAAATTGTGACATATTCCTGCCCCAGTTAAATGTGTTTTATGAGGTAAAATCGTCGATCAATAAGCCAGTAAGTCGATAGTCTCCATAACCATCCATTTAGGGATCTGGCAGATTATGAAGGCAGCGTATCAACATAAGCGAGTGCAGGGCCTGTTGGAGTGGTATTTAATTTTTTCGGTGCATAGGCTGTTAGCTGGCAATTTTATGCACTTTTTCGTTCTGTTCAGATAAATTGTCGAAACGGTCTAGATGCACACAAGATCTTGTATTCACAAAACCACATCCGCTAATTGCGTTTTGACAGGTAGAGTTCTCTCTCAAGTCAAACTGTCGAGGTGTGTCATATGCAAATTACTAACATAGCTCCCTGTATCGCACAGGTTACATTTAAATTGGTACACTACGCACTGTTCATTAACCAGCTGTGGTTTGGTCTCACATTCTTTAAGGTCTTGGCCAATTTTCCGACTGACAAATACGGGCTGGATTATGGTTTGGAGCCTAATGCTAAGGTCTTTCAACTGCGTCTTAACAATGTTAGCGGAGTCTTGGTCCTTCAAATGTAACCTGTGCGATACAGGGAGCTATGTTGGTTACACACACGGGCATTTATATGCCCGCGTGGATAGCCATAAGAGCACGTCATCTCCAGTACGCAAGCACTACGACAACGACCACGCCGGTGCTGTCCCTGAGGACCTTCTTAGCTGTTTCAAAGTTCTCAAGAAGTGCATGAACAAATTCGATTGTCTTGTCAACGAGATGCTTTACATCAAACAATTAACACCGAGTTTGAACGTGCAAACGGATTCTATCCGCGCTAAAGTATTTGTGTAGCTACCTCCCCTATGAAAATAAGTTGTAACTCTTGAACTCGCATTTGTTAATTTTATTTTCATTTGTACCCTTGATAATGGCGTCATGAAGTCGCCGAAACGTCAGGATATTATATCGCCCGTTTTTACCTGTCTATGTATGACGATGTGCAGCCTTTTTTACATTTAGGTAGTTCGGAAAGCCGCAAAACACTTGAACAAAAGTTTATCTTTCAAATCAGTATTCTTAACCAACGAACGCTTTTCATTTTACTAATTCATTCTTGTTTTTCTCGTTACCCTGTTCCCACCAATAGCAAGGTTCCACTTTCTGCATATCAACCTACACACAGCCCACAACTCCTCCATTCGCTCTAACGAAGGTTGAAGCCCCAAACGAAAGCTGTAAAGTGCACCTAAACACAAAAATTTTTTTCGCTTAACGAAATAAACGTATTTTTGGAGTATTTCTTTGCAAAAACTTTTTTATTTGCTCAAATCTTCGATTTTCTGTGCCCAGCGTTGAAAAGGAGGATTTTCAGCCGCCATTTTGGCTCACGACCGAGTTTAAAGAGGAATGGTCCTAGCGGGTAATGTGACGTCAAATCGAGAACACGAAAGTTTACATTTCGCACATTTTCACTTGTTTGGGGAAGGTTCTAGTCGATATCTTCCGATAATATGCCGACTAAGTGTGTTGTAGGAGGATGTAGCAACGTGCGAAATTTGTAAGAGGCTATCGCGCTTCATTGGCGTCCGATTTTCCGTATTTTGACTGGGCACAGAAAATTGAAGATTTGCGCAAATAAAAAAATATTTGCACAGAAATACTCCAAAAACTACGCTTATTTCGTTAAGCGAAAAAAATTTGGGGTTTGGGTGTACTTTAAAACTCTTTATGGTGACCAACTTACATTATCAACTCAGTTGACAAAACCAAATTACCTTATTACTCCCACCGACGCAGCACCAGTTTCTTTACAAACTTACCCCTTACTCATTCGAACAAGATCAGCTTGCCTTATCGATTGAACCTACAGTGGAGAATAAAATTGCTATGAAATTACTTGTGTATTTGGAAATAACTTCTGTACTATAATTATTTTATGAGTGCCTCTTTTCTTCTGATTTAGATCATCTGGCGAGTGAAAAAAAAGACAAGAACTCAATGGCTAGCAACACTGCTAACAGGACTTCAGATGACGTGAGCAATAAGAGCCATTTGCCTTTTCTTGAATCCGAGTGCATTCCATGGGTTGTTGTGCTCATCGGTGAATGTATGGCCATAGTCATCCTTAATGTCATCACCATTATTGTATTCGTGAAGAAGCTTCAGCTACGACGCCGAAGTACATACTTGATCATCCATCTGGCGATAGTCGATCTCTTAGTCGGCGCAGTCTCAGGTCCTCTGTTTATTTACTGGTTTGGGAGTTACTGTGGTCTTTGGGAGATTAACGCAGCTAGCTCTCTAGCACTGAGAAACACATTTCAGCGCTTCCCTCTCGCTTCTCTTCTGAATCTCGCTGCCATTTCATTAGAGAGGGCACATGCGACATTCTGCCCATTTAAACATCGTTTCATCAAGAAATGGGTTTATGGAGTAATAATAATTGTACTTTGGTTGACAAATACCACTGCAGGGCTGATAAAAGGAGCCATAGACCCTCCCATTTTGCATTTTTCATCTTTTCTTTTTCTTCTTTTTATTATTTCTGTTTCTTACATTTCTATTTTTATCAAAGTCCACTTTTGTCGTTCTTTACCACGCCATGGCGCAGTAGCTGCGAGGGAGAGAAAATTGACGAGTATCTTGTTCATTGTGACCCTGGCCTCTTTGTGCATGTGGTTTCCATCAGTGATACAGACCGGGATTTATATTTTACGTCCTCAGTTACTCGACAACTCTTTTTGGGGGCTACACTATCAAAATATAATGGTGGCTTTATTTCAGGCCAATTCGCTTGTAAATCCTATCATCTACGCAATGAAGATGCCAGAACTGAGAAAAGACATAATGCAAATCATATTCCGTCAGACTGTGAACCGTTTATATCCAGTGGATTTACCTTTATGTAATCTTTAGTACACCAACTTGTCGTTTATTGAGATGTACCTTATCCTTAGAATTTTAAGAGAATTGGTGACGACAATTCTCATACTTATCAGCTAGAAATTGATATCGTGATGTAACAGTTTTATTTAAAAGGATGATTTGGCGGCCTGAAATAGGAAAACAACAAATATATCTTCGCGTTTAAAGTTTATCCATGGGGAAGTGAAGGGGAGGTTAAGGTAACCTGTTTTCAAAGTGAGTTTTAATACAGTGTGAGGTAAATTAAGATTCCTTGTTTAAACGTTGAAACCATCAGATTGCATCTCATGCCTTAATGTTTCCAGCACGGAATATTTGGCCATAGTCATCATTGACATCATCACCATCATTGCATTTGTGAAGCAGCGCCTTCTGGCCATACTTGATATCTTGGTTGGGACAATTTCAGGTTCTCTGGATATTTACTGGGTAGGGAGTGTCTGTGATCTGACGGAAAGGAAAAACATGACGGCACCTGACGGCAGGGAAACTGTTTACTTTGCATATTTTGCATTCATTATTTTAATCATTTCGGTTTCTTGCATTGCTATTTTTTCAAAGTTCGGTGTGGTCGTCATCCACATGATGGCGTAGTAGGTGCGTTGGAAAGAAATAAACGGGTACATTTTGTAATACGACTCTTGGATCTTCACTCAATTGGTTACCTACAGAAATACAAAGCGGGATTTTAATTTTCCAACCCCAGTTCCTCGACACCCTCTCCTGGCGGTCATCGTTTCATATTGATAATATAGTACTGGCATTTAGTACTGTCAACACGCTGATAAATCCTATAATCTACGCCATATTGTTGCCAGAATTTAGACAAGGTATGAATCAAATCATATCCCGCCGGAATCCAAGCAGTTCAAACCCGATAGAAGTACCACCACGTAATCTTTAGATCAACCTTGGTTTAACTGCTTCTGCTCCTAAAATTGATGAAGATGTGAACTTCTACTTCCATGATATCTGGAACTTTTGCGGAAATGTCAACTACGCGGGCCACCACTCTACTATATAGGGCAGTTATTAGAGTGCATCAAAGCCGGTGGTGAGAGGCAATCAGGTGCAACAAGAGGATTCTACTTCTCAAGCAACGGCATGAACGGATTCTACTTCTCAAGCAACGGCTTCTCAAGTCAGTCGATTAAATATGATATTTTGGTTTTTTCTCGATCTGGTTCTTTAGCTTTCGCCCCAATAGAAAGTTATAAAAAAAAACCTCCCTGACTTACAGACCATGACAGCTGAGACAACCAGTGTGTTACTAAATGCTACGTTATTAGCTCAACCATCAGTTGAGAAAACGTCGAATAAAACCGAATTTGATGTAGAGGAAAAGCAAGCTTTTGTAAACAGTCATCATGCCGTAAGTATTCATCAAAGTAGCATTTACATGATGCATTTATCTGGAGTTAGAAAATGATAACGTCAGATCGATGGATCGGGAAAAAACTACGCGGATCAGCAGACTTCCATGGTTCACCTTCGGCTGAAAGTGTTTAAATTTAAGTGAAGCCAAATCCGTTCTCACGAGAAACTTCACGTGACTCTCATGCCGTAACGATCTTATGTAAGTCAATAGTAACGCGAGTGACCCAGTATGAGGATGAGTGTGTTGATGAAAACAAATCAGTGATCTTCACACGCGTTACCTATGCCCGACCTTTGTTATTGCTTATATTGCAAATATAACTATGACCTCAGTTGTAAAAGAATCTTTAAAAAGATCAGCGAAACTTGTTAGCAAAAACGAAGGATAATCAATGAAAATAAATAACTCGCTTCAAGACTGACTTTGTGGCACACCAGCGGAGCATAGATATTGAGCGAGAAGTGAAAAGTTACCAACACTTTGTAACCTTACGGCTTTTTCTTAGGATATTAAGCGTCTTGCAGAAAAATCGCAATATCGCGACAAGAACCTCTTTAGCTGCTTGTTGAACCTATTACATTTTTGGGTTTTACATATTTAGATATATTTGCAGATTCAGATGAAGCATTAGGAGAAACCAGATCGGAAGAAACCGCACGAGTGACAGAATTAATAGTTGATGTGACCTAAACAAAGTAAACTAGCTTTAGTGATTAAACCACAATCGGTGGATTTAAGTCCCGTTTAAGTCCGAACTTCTTTCTCAGCTGAGTAAGTCGGCTGGGTAAGTCTCTAAACTTACTGCAGCCAAACCGAGTCAAGATAGGACGGAGTGAATAACTTGTAGCCTTCTCTTTATGATATCCACACTGATCAATGATCTTGCAAACGGGAGATGAGAATCAAAAAACCTTACCACCTGAACCTTTACTGCCTAACAAACGAATCATGTCTCTTACACATCAGTTAAAGAGGACAGTTAGTGGATGCCCGTAGTCCTAGAAGGAGGAATCGAAATTAGTTATTAAGGGGGGGAGGGGAAGGGATGACCTTGTTTGACATAGACTCTATATGACAGCACAAGTTATATTAAGATAAAAGTACTGAAAGCGTATCAATTTTTTGCTATTATGGAGATCCAAAAGCATATTATGACATGTTATATTGTATTGCAGTACTGTGGTGCATGCTATTGTAATAGTGCAAACATTGTTTAAAAAGTGTGAGAGTAAAGTGTGAACAGAGAAAAAATCGAATAAAGAATCCTCTGAATTTTTGGCATACTCAACATCTTGTCTATTCGAGTATTGTCTTTTATCAAATCGCTCACACACCTTAAGATTTCTTTCCAATAGCTTTTTTTATTCTTTAATTAAGTCTACTTTTCTTGTCAGTAAAGGCCTCTCGAGTTGATACAATAAATAAAACAATACTTGCTTGTAGATATAAAATCTCTTGTGTTCAACTCACTTTTTCGCTGCCCTCCCATGTGAAACATCGTGTTGAACACTCGAAAGAAATTCCATATCTGCAAGTGGCTTTGTATCATTCTCTATATCATTACATACCTTTTATCATTAATGGCTTTACTTGGAGTTAATTTAACAAATAGAGAAACCTGGACTGTCCTCTGTTCGGTGAAGCGCGCATGAAGCGGCTACAGCACGAGAGAGGTTGGGAGAAAGACGAGCCTTAGAAGAGTCAGTTTCTCCTCACTTCTAGAGTGTTCTAGCCGCTTCCTTACGCTTCGCTGTTGGTCTCACTGCAATTCCGCTTGAGCGGACACACGCAACATTTTATCCATTCAAGCATTGTTTTAAGCAGAAATGGGTTTATGCAGTTATAATTATTCTAACTTGGTTAACTACTGCCGCCTGGGGTATCAACGATGGTCGATGATTTCCTCATCTATTAGTCTATGCTGTTTTCCTCTTTTTCATCATATTGTCTGCATTTCAATTTTTGACAAGGGGCGCTTAAATCCTCAACTGCGTCACAATAGTGCATTCAGGTTCGAGAGAGAAAAAAATGACAAATACTTTATTTATTGTGACAGTGGGATCTGCAGCTACTTGGTTTCCACTGATGATACATCTACAAGTCGGTCACTATTCTACATTGAAAGAACAACAGCGGTTTTTTCTATGGCTAACTCGGTAACTAAATCCTTTTATCTACGCCATTAGGATGCCAAAATTAAGACAAGGTATAATGCAAATCATCTTCAGCGGGAATCCAAACCTTGAAATACGATCGATTTACCATTACGTTGTGGCGTCAATGTGTATTTTTTTCATATTTCTTACATAAAGGTTTTACATTTCTGCATCATTAATTTCCGCTTATCATTTTCGTTATTTAAACCGTATCATATCTGCACCATTATTTTTGCACTTTATGTAAATCAATCCGCCCTTTATGTATCATGTTTCATGGCCCCTTTAGCAGGGTTTCTTATTTTTGCCTCCATGACCTTTCTCCTACGAATGTTTCGCGTCTCCTATATTCCCTCAGCATTTGTTGAGTTTCTGACTTGTGGTATTTTTGCATTCATGTACTTTCCCTTCTTGTATGTAAGTATACTTTCTTAAAGTCATTTTATTTTTTCTTTAGGAACTTATTTCTTTGTCAAAACGCTGATACCCAGGTATTGCTTGGTAAAGAAGAATGACGTACTTTTCCTAAGCCTTTTCCATCCGTTTATTTTGATCCACCACCCGAAACTCAATAAGATTAAAAATGACCAATAATGAATTGATTATTTGAAAATTAAACCAGCCAGTTGTTCGACTCAAAAGTCGATTTTCTTTTGAAAACGAATACGGCTATCGAGTTCAATATTCAAATAGCCAATTCATTGTTGCATCCCTGAAGCGACTGGCAGGTTTTATTTTCAATTAATCAACTATCAATAGTCATTTTTAAACTTAAACTTGTTTACTTTATATAATGCTGAACCATAGCTATTTCAGGACAAGTTTTAATCTCCGTTAAAGGTTTCCCAATTGATTGTTTAAACTAAGTGACAAAAAAGATAATTGATTTCAAAAGAGATTGAGTTTCGGGTGGTGTATCAAAATAAAGGGATGGAGGAGGCGTAGGGAAATTGTCATTTTTTATTTCTTTTTGTATACCTTACGTATAAATGGCAGTTCTTTCCCGTTTTTGTTACCTTTTTTTTTTTCTCGTGCGCCATAAGTTGTCGACGAAGCCGACCTGCTCATCAGTTCTTTTCTTTACCAAGCAATACCTGCATATTAGCTTTTTGACAGCGGTAGAATGATATGATTAGAGAAGCGAAGTATGACATTAACTTATGCGGAAAAAATATTTAGTGACAATGCTTAACCTTTGCAATCGATGATTTTCAAATACTTTTGGAAAGAAAAGTAAAAGTTTGGCGCTACTTCTCGGCCAAGTGACTCCTCCGATACATTTGGGAATTTCGTTGCGTTCTACAGTCTCGAACTATTCATAAATAATGATCATAATAAAACCCCTCACCACCGCCGAACTTGGAAACGCCATCAACAATATGGAAATAACAAATCTCCAGGCCTTCATGGCCTCACCAACAATTTGTACAAACACTTCTGGCCCCTCACAAAAGTCTTTAATCACTGCTACCAAGAAGGTCACCTAACACGTATACAACAACGCGGGGTCATCTCGCTTGTCTTCAAAAAAGGAGAACGAACCAAACTCAAGAACTAGCGTCCGATTACCCTATTAGATACCAACTATAAAATTCTCACCAAAACACTAGCCACTCGCCTCACATCTGTACTGCACTCCATTATCCACTCGGACCAAACCACCTGCATCTCTGGCCGAACAATAAATGATAATTTCAGCTTTCTCCACGATATCATCTCCTACGCCAACGATACTAACACACCGCTCGCACTGATCTCTATCGACCAAATGAAAGCATTCGACCGCATCTCGCACGCCTTCCTATTCTCTACCCTTCAACACTTTGGCTTTGGCCCCAACTTCATTCACTAGATTAAAACTATTTACACCTCTGTCTCAAGCTCCATAAA